TAACAGGTTAAAATTTCTCCAGGACTAGTAATAACTTATTCTCGGAACCTTGGTTCAAACTTACATATCCTAACCTACAAGTATTAATCTATATTCATTCCATTAACCAGTGTTAAAAAGGAGACTTCAGAGTTCACTTTATATGTCTTTTAATACCATGTTTACAACTCTTTAATTTAGCAGTTATTATTTGAATAGCTTAATACTTTGTACGTATAGTTTTATCAGCATCTAAATCAATCATTTTAACTTCTATGATAACTTCTAAATGATATATTTTATGTGGGTAATTTATAAAAATTCTGTACCCATTTACATTATGGCGTAGAAAACATCTAAAAATACAAAACCAAAGAACTTGTGCAAACTATTTATAGACTTGAGAAGTTATATTATGAATTGGTATTTTCCATTTTGGCATATTGAGGATTTTGTTATATGGGATTCAGACTTAGAAAAGCATTTATTCTTCTTCTTTTTTTTTACTTTATTGGGGAACAATGTGTTTTTTCCAGGACCCATCAGCTCCAAGTCAAGTTGTTGTCCTTCAATCTTAGTTGTGGAGGGTGCAAGCTCAGCTCCAAGTCCAATTGCCGCTTTCAATCTAGTTGCAGTGGGGGAGGTGCTGGGGGACACAGCCCACCATCCCATGAGGGAGTCGAGCCGGCAACCTTGTTGTTAAGAGCATGCACTCTAACCAACTGAGCCATCTAGCCACCCACCGGCAGCTCAGCTCAAGTCATTGTCTTCAATCTAGTTGCAGAGGGCACAGCTCACTGGCCCATGTGGAAATCGAACCTGCAACCCTGTTGCTCAGAGCTCACGCTCTAACCAACTGAGCCACCCAGCCGCCCCCATTTATTCTTTTTGTTCAAAATTTTACTATGTTGTTCTCTGACCTGGAAGTTTTGGGGGTTTAGAGTAACATGACTAATTTGCAAAGGCCGACTTTGAAGCAGTTTTGTTTTTGTTTGCTTTGCACATAAACATATATAAAAAATATAGAAACTCATGTATACACACACCTGTATATATCACTGTAAGACAGCAAAATACTCTTAGTGATTTTTTAAAAGCTTTTATTTACTCCCTTGAAGCATGATCTGCTTCCCTGAGAATACAGTATAAACAAAATTTGGCTCACAGTTACCTCATAATGATCTGCTCATCCTGTCCTTGCTTGTTGACCTACTTAAATACCTGTGTGTAGAGGCAGTACATTCGAAGTTGTATTCTCCAAAGTAAATTGACAGTGTATCCTTTTTAGTTAGATGGATAGGCTTGTTTTAAATTATTTTACTAGGTAGAGATAGAACATGGCAGACATTTTTATTTTAAAATTCCATATTTGTTTCCTGTCCCAAGCTTATTAATTATCTAAGAACTGTTGGTAAATGTAAAGCATACTAAACATTTTTCTTTAGATAGGAGGTATGTATGTTGATCCTTTAAACTCAGGCTTGCGAGACATGTAACTTTATTTTTCTATAAAGAAACCCTCTTAAGTTCTCTTTTGCGCCTCCAATCTAACAAATGTGGAAAAATTAATCTCAGTCAATTATTACCCCCCTCCAAAATTGCATCTAAATTTGATAGGGCTTGCAGTGCAAATATATGAGATGGGAGAGGTGAGGACATTTTATTCTTATTGTAACCACTGAGATGCCCCAATTCCCTACCTGATCATTGGTTATTAACTCATATAGTCTCTGAAGCATCCATCCTTATTTCTACTTCAAAGCCTGTAAGTTCTTTGGACCTTGTTTGTATTACTCTTGGACACATACTCATATCATTATCACCAGATCTACAGGGATTGGAGAAGTTGTCACAGATGTGGCTGTGCAGACATACTATGTGCACACCTCTTCTACTCTTGCCTCATGTGGGCTATCTTGCTACTTCCTTGAACTCCACCCAAGAATAAACATAAGATTTTCCAGATCTTTTTATTAGTAACACTTCCAGGGCCCTGTCGATTCTTACCCTTTCTCAGGGACCCCTTTTCCCCCTTTCTGTTTGCAGCACTCTTGTTCCAATTTCAGAATATCTTACCGAATAATTGACTGGTCAGAGATCATGGAAGCTTTGCTCTTAATTACACGTTTAATCTTTTTTGTTATCCCAGGTCAAGGTTTTGAATTCTTTCATTCTTTTTCATCATGACCCGGTATGGCATTGCTTTCCCAAGGTAGTGAAGATGGACTGTTCTTCCTACCTGCATTGGGGAAAATGTTAAACGTAAAGAAATGTGAGGGAGTGAAAAGGATATTTACTTCATGTTGAAAAACATTATGCAACCAGATCTGTATTTTTATATTGTGATACTTGTATATGCTTCAAAGCATTCTTAATTGGAAAACTATTTCTAAGTGAACATAAGATATGGAATCGCCTCTTACAATGTCTATTTAGAATTTAAGATTCAAATGTTTCATAGATACATATTTGGTATTTTTACCACTTTCTTTGGAAAGCAGAGGTCTGGAAGAAGGAGGCGGGAGGAGGAGGAGGATTCTCTTTTTTCTTTTTAACTTTTGATTATGGAAAATTCCAAACATATACAAAATTAAAAACCTATAGCATAACGATTCATGCACCTATAATCCAGCTTCAACAACTCATGACTAATCTTGTTTCATTTGTAATCCCCATTCCTGCCACTGGATTATTTTTAAGTTCTTCCCATTTGGATGCTGGATAAATAAGTGAGTGTCTAATCATCCTGGTATCATTACGTAGTTCAGAATCCAAAACTCCATCCATTCACTTAATACTTATGGAGTGCTTATTCTGCAACAGGTGCTACTAGCCTAGGCTACACATATATAGAATGCAACGTTAAACTCTTGGAAAAATTCACGTTAGGTACTAGTTAGTTACACAAGGAGATAATTTCCCACTTCTCCTTAAAACTTTCCAATATATTTTTTTAAAGGCCTATAAGCAATGTGCTGCTCCTCCCTCCTTGCCCTCCTTTGCCTGATTTACTCATCTTCCATTCTCAACCTGCCTTACCGCTGCCAGCCACGCTGGCCCCCTGATTTTACTGAAACATTTCCTTTTTGTTCTCACTCCATAATCTTTGTACGTGATATTGTGTTCGTAGCACTTTCCCCTCAGATATCTGCATGATCTATTCCCTCACCTCTTTAAAATTTTCTTGGCCCTCAGCTGCTTTCCAAAGTATGTCCTGACCTCCAGATACTTGTCCTTAGTCACCTTCTTGACTGATATTTAAGGGGTGGGGGGTCTGAGGGATCTTCTTGCTCTGTTCTATATTAAGAATTTAATAAAAAATGTGTTTGTTAAAAAGATGGCATGGTTTGGGAACAACTCAGCCTTTTGCAAACATAAATTTACTTACCAGTTGTGCAAAAGACACCCAAATTATTTCCAAGAGGATGTTTAAGTATTAATTAGATAATTATTATGATAGTCTTTCTTCATGATATCATTCAAAATCACATGAAATTAGGTGTTATGCTTTGGTGATCACTTGTGTTTTGTGCCAAATGCCTCTCAGCTGTAAAATTATGACTTTGAAGAACTAGTAGTGAATAGTTTTCACTGCTGTAAATCTTACACTTTAATACTATTTATCCCCCTCTGATGAGTAATTGACTGGCTTAGGTACCATTTCGTCTCTCCCACGAGTTAAGATAAGGTGTTTGTGAATATATGTTCTTTAAAATCTGGCCCTAGGTTCCACTCTGTCTACGTCATTTCTATCTGTTTCTCTAAGATTTAGTTCTTCAAAATACTTTGTCCTGGCAAGAGTGCAGTAAGATTAGCGTTCTCAGTCACTGCTCATGGAAATGTATAACTCTTTCCGGGAATATGCATTAAGAGATTTAAATATGTCCCTTTCTTTTGATTTCAGTTTGGGGAATGTAGTCTAAAGAAAATGCGCATAAAGAAATGTGGTAGAAACAGAAAAGAATGAGAAGCACCCAGAGATATGTGTATATATATATACATCTCATTCTTTTCTGTTTCTACCACATTTCTTCAATACTCATCTACTTTTCTTCAATACTCATCTACTTTTCTTCAATACTCATCTACTTTTCTTCCTCCTTTTTTCCCTTCTTTTTCTTTTCTCTGTTTCCCCCCAGTACTTCATTGCTTTGTTTCTCTTAGTATTAAAATGATATATGGAGGCAGAGAGTATATAGGAAATCTCTGTATGTTCTGCTCAGTTTTGTTGTGACTCTTAAATTGCTCTTTTAAAAGGGTCTATTGTATAATAAACATAAGCAAATAAATAGTATGGGACTTTAAGAAGAGGCTAAGTTTTTATGGGGAACACATTTGGTTCACAGTAGGAACTCAATAAATTGTTGAATCATTTTGTTGATTTGACTAAGCAAAGATTCCTCTGCATAAGAAAGCAGGCTCTTGGTGTTTTAAGCCTAAGACTCAGGGAAACTACTGAAATATCCAAGAAAATGAAATTTTTTTTCTTTTGGATAAATGGAATGTTTCAGGAATTGAAAGTGTTTTTAAATTAGAAATGCATTTTTCTGCCTTCCATGTATATTAAAGATTCTTATTTGACAGTTGTTTGAAAAATAAATCCCTTACTAAATTATAGGAACTGCATCATATTATTTTTTTTTTCGTTAATTAGAGGTGATTTCAATGTCCTAAATCCTGAAGGCTGGGAAGTACACTGGTGCATGTGTAATGGAATTGTCCCTGCTCCTTAATGTACTTGTGCTGTTAAGATGTAGTTAGTTGTTTATTTCTTTTACAGTGAAATATGTCATGACTAAATTCCTGGAGATATTTTTTTAGTGCACTCTTAATTGGAGATCTTTCTTATTTCTAAAAAAAAATTCAGTCTGTCTTGTTCATTAATTATTTGAATTGCCTTTGTGCATTAAATGTCATATTTTATCTTATGAATTACCGCAGTTTCCAGGATGGTTGTCCCCACATTCATTTTTCCACCGCATGGATTAAAATTGTTTAAATATGTTTTCTTTTTCCCATAGTGGTTCCCCCTGGAAGTCCTGGGCCCATGACTCGGCATGGGTCCTATGACAGCCTAGCTTCTGACCACAGTGGACAGGAAGATGAAGAATGGCTGTCTCAGGTAAACCTCTTGAAATGTGTGGCCCATTAGAGTGAAAAAAAACCCAGAAATCCATTGTCTGTTTCTGCTCTTGAATTATAAAAATGGTTTTCCTTAGAGGAAAATGGAAAGAGTTGGGAACTCTTTTTAGGGTTGTAACAATCAATTAATTGTCTTTCCATATTAAGAATTTCTCATCAATACTGCTGCAGGACTATATACACCTATATTTTACACACGTGTGTGTGTATACATTTGCTTTCATACAGAGGGCATAAAATATGCACATCTTTCAAACAATCCATTTATATCCCTTAGGACCTTGGATTTTAGACGGACACTTCGGATTAATGTAAGAATTGCCCTTAGTAAAACAGTGAAGCCATTCAACAATCTTTGAGATTGGTTTTGTGGAGCCAACATTTTCTGAAGATTGGGCCCATGCTTTGATTAGACAAGTTCAGCATTCTAATCGGCACAAGCCCTGGCTGCGCCCGACAGGGTTTCTTTTCCTAAACTCATGTCAGGCCGCTTCCAGTGGTCTCTAAGCCAGTCCTGTGACAGCTTCAACTGACCCTTCCTCCCCTTGCCCGGGGAAGCTGCCTTCATCTCCAGGGCTTTGAAATAAAAGATACTTGGGCAGATTTCAAAATGATGAGATTACAAATGACTTCATTACAAATGCTGTTATGTCTGCCTCCAGTCTGACATCACTTGGTGGAGTTAATGACCTGTCTCAGATTACCAATCCAGTGGCTTTTCATCCGACAGGTGCCTCCGTGGAGGCCGGGCGCAGTTTCACTGCTTCCTTGGGGAGGGTAGCCGTGGAAAACTAAAGGGAATCTGGACACTGGAGAACCAGATTGTTTCTAGGTGACACAGTTCATCACACCTGAAATACTCACAGGAAGCTCCTTGAGGGAGGGCCGGTGCTTCAGTTCCTGGCATATGGAGGAACCTCCTTTCTTGAGGCTATCACCAGAAAGTTTAAAAAAAGAAAGAAAGAAAAAAAAAGAAAGCTGGCAAAGAAACCATTGTCCTTCACTTCAGCTTTTCAATTAGGAAAAGGGGTAATGTGTGCTGTCAGTGGGAAAGTATATGCAATATGTTTGTACTGCACACACCAGGCGAGTGGATAGGAACATGTGGCCTTCGCCTCAGCAAAATCGCATTGGCATCTGTTTACCTCTCAGCTCTGTGGCACTGATGGTTTTGAGCTTAGAACATACAGAAGGCTTTATCTGTGGCCTAATTTACATTGCTGAATACAACTACTTGCATCAGAAATCGCTGTCCTAAATCTGAGTAGTTTTCTCCTTGGGATCAGTGGGAATGTGAATATTGTTCCAAGACTATGATGCCATTTTTTTGTTGTTGTGTTTTTTTTTTGCCCTTTAGGACTTAACAAACACAGAGCTGTGCTCTGTGAACTTTTTCTGTTATGTTTTGTTAAGAGTGAATCACCACAATCAGAGAAATGTGATTAAATATGAAAGAATTCAGGGCAGAAAGAAGGCACATGGGAAGTCAGTTCCATAAAGTATGTACACAGACGTGGATGTAGCAATTACAAGATGCTGAGAAATAGCCTTTCACCAAAGGTTTGCATATTTAGGCACTTATTCATGTTGCTCATTTGTAAGATCATATAATCTATTTGTTTTCAGGTTTTACCCTGTGCCTTTTACTCTCTACTTTGTTTTTAGATGTTTAGTGTAATATTGGCAATATTCCCTACCCCCTCCACAGAGCATGAAATTCATAATGCATCTTGCGGCCCTTAAAGTACGTGGTGTCAGTGTTCATGGTAGTTAACCAAACACTGTAAATTAATAATGGTATTTTGAAGACAGTCTGGTTCAAGAGAAAATATATAATACTCTCTTCATTTCAAAGTGGATTTGGGGGTATTTTGAGGACAGTATAGTAAATATTGTAATATTTAATTGTGGAAATAAACTGGACTTTGGGTGTTGAAAATTATTTTTCAGATGTTTTCTTTTCCTTGGCTAGTTCAAGAACAACTTCAGATTTGTCATGAGCTTGATCCTCAGTGAAGGAATTACTTTTAATCTGTGGATTTATAGGTGTAGTATTCAGTGCATGCCCACAGAGTGGTAAGTACCGTCTAGAATGAATGAAAAGGATAGTCCTTAGGGAGCCAAGGCTACTTATATGAGGCAGGCAACTGGTCTTTTTATTCTCATGTGACTTTTGTGTTGTATATGTGTGGGGTGTGTGTGTGTGTGTGTGTGTGTGTGTGTGTGTGTGTGTGTGCGCGCGTTTACATGTATGTATACACACACACACACAATGAATTTTTTGCTTATTTTTGTGAAAACCTTTAGGAGGGATACAGTGAATGTCTATTTGGGCTGTGATTATTATCACCTTTTCACTATGGATGCCTTGTCCCTCTCCCCACTTGGTTAAGATGGGCTTCTTGGAGAATGTGGGTGTTCAGAGATGGGGTGGGAGATTGTGAAAGACTCTCAAAGGGAGGTCATAACACATTTAAATCATGATTCTTAATCTGTTTCAGGTAGAAATTGTAACGCATACTGGACCCCACAGGCGGCTGTGGATGGGTCCACAGTTCCAGTTCAAAACCATCCATCCCTCAGGCCAAACCACAGTCATATCATCCAGTTCATCTGTGTTGCAGTCTCATGGTCCAAGTGATACTCCACAGCCCCTTTTGGATTTTGATACAGATGATCTTGATCTCAATAGTCTCAGGTAAGAAATAATTAGGGAGTTATTTGACTGGTTAACATGTTCATTTGTAACGAGCATCTTAGGTAACAATTCCATTTCCCCTTTGGCAGAGTATCATGTTGCAGAATATAGGCACTGTAAATCACATTCATTATTGTCGCTGGGGGTCTTATATGGGATCTCATCACATCCAATAAATATCTGTGTTTCCATCTAATATTCAGTACACCGCTTAAAGCCATCTCATTTTGTGATGTCTTACTCACTTTTCTAGCTGCTTAAAGTCTGATGATAGCCTCCTTTCCTGATCTTTCTGATCTTTCATCTTTCAACTAAACTGCATCTGTCCGAACCCTGCATATTTCTTCTTTTAGGCTTTAAAAGTTTTTGGATGAGAAAGTATTGATATAAATTCACTTATAGTTTATCATCTATCTATGTTTTTTTCATCAGCTATGTTCTCTGATCCTCACTCGTAAAATTCATAATACATGGTTTACAAAATAGTATGCTTTTTATTATTAGGGTTTTGGGGGTTTTTTAATGCAACTGAGAACTTTTTGACTTTTGCAGTTCAGGTTTGCTTAGCAGTTTAATTTGTTACACCAACTTTGACATATTTGGGTACAACAGACAATGAAGGGCCCAGTATAATGCACTATAATCTCAGTTTCCTTGTTTTCTCTTTTAGAAAAGTTTGGTAGTCTATCTTTGTTTGAATCTAAAATAGCCCTCTGGCCTTTTTCTTGCCTCTCTTTTTAAAAATTGTGGGAAAATATATCCCAATCAGATGTTGGAAATATGTTTTTCTCTACCTCTTTGTAAACATTGATAACAAGCCTTTATAACAAAGCAAAAGCTGTTGCAGAGGTGGATTAGGCCTAGATGTTTCTTCTTAAAGAATAATTTATATAATTGAACATGCCTTCTTTAATACATTTTTTAGTGTTTTATTGGGTTGTTGGAAAAGTCATGATGTATTTTTTCTATGTTTTTCGTTGCAAAAATGTGTCATGACTTTTCCGACAACCAAATAGTTTGCTTTGTATTTATTTATTTCTTCTGTACATTTCTTTTTTTTTTTTTTTTGGTCTAACATGTTTTCTTCCCCTTTCTAGATATTTCACCAAGATTTCACACAATAGTGACAATAGAGTGGGTGATAGACCAGTTTTCACTGGTAGCAATTGTAAAATATAAGTTTAGACAGTCAATCCATTTACAGGTAATCAAGCTACGTCAGCCCTCAACTTAGTGATTGAATTCACACTCGTAGTCATTCATGGTTATAAGTCATTCAGTTACTCAGATGTTAGTAATAATGCATTTAAATTAGATGACCCATAAGACTATATTTATTCTCTTTACTGAACTACTCACAAGGACACCTGCCTCCCCTTTTTTTCCTGAGGACTGTTACCTGCTATAAGACCCTGTCCCTTTTCCTTGGAGGACATCTCCAGCTCCTGTATATACAGCTCCGTTGCTTTGTTTTGTGGCCTCCTCCAGCTTTCTTAGTTACTCTTTACTTCAGACATAGTCCTCCATCTAAGATCTCTCTAACTTACTTCTTCAGACAATGCTACATTCCTGAAATCCTTCCAGAATGTTCCTCAAGGACTTTCCTTTTTCTTACACTAAAGAGCTCCCACTATTTGTCATCTAAATGACTTTAAATTGTTTATGTTTGATTAGAATATTGTCTTGTTTATTGGACACATATAAACTTTAGAAATCTTTGTATTGGGTCACAGGTTTATACATTTCTTTGGATTGCGCTTGTAATTTGTATTTAAGAATGTGAACGTGTTAACATTCTTAAAGAGCTGAGCCCCCATTAAAACCCAGTTTTGACAGGAAATTCAGCTTGGTCTCACATCATTTCCTGTCTCCAGTCTCATATAAGTGTCCTGTTTAGTACCATTTCCAGGCCACCATCCATTTAGAAATCCAACTATTTATAGTCTCTTCATTCATGATACTGTTACTCTATCCCGTCTCCTCATCCCTGTTTCTTCTATGTTTCTTTAGGATTCTATGCACAATGGCACTATGGCTGTTGGCCTTGCTTTCTCCTTTAAATTGGGAAGCCTCTGTTTCGATTTTTTTTTTGGCTCAACTGACCCAGGTCCCTGTCCTCTACCCGATAAGCTATCACTAAGAATTAAGTGGTGCTGTGGTAGTCTGCCTCCCTGTATTCTAACCAAAAAGGGGAAGAGGCAGGTATAATGTCGATTGTCGTATATCCATAAGGGAACCAGGCATGGCTTAACCGCATAAGTAGCTCCTTAATGTGAAAAAGGTCAATGAAATATTTATTAGTAGACCTGAAAAATAGATAATGTAAAATAATCTGTGATACAAAGCCTTGCTTGGTATTCAAGATTAGCTCTTGAGACATTGGTTACATTCATTTTATTTATTTATTTACTTATTTATTTCTAGTCAGTTAACACATCCATCAGCTCATATCCACCAGCTCACATATATAGTGATTTTTGGGTAAAAACATTTAAGATCTACTCTCTTAGCTAATTTCAATGATATAATACAGTGTTATCAACTATTGTTGCTCTGTTAAATACATTATGACTTCAGGCCTTATTCATGTTGTTTTGTTTCAATCAACACATAATTCACATAACATAAAATTCACTGTACAGACTCAGTTGTTTTCAATATATTCAACATCCCTACTATATAATTCCAGAATACTTCCATCACCCCCTACCAGTTTTTGTTTTATTTTTGTCCTTTTTTGTGTGTATGTGGAAAAATTTCAAGCATATGCAAGTAAACATATGTTAAGTTAAAGAGAGTAATAGAATAAACACCCATGTATTAACATTTGTCACCCAGCTTCAACAAATCAATTCTTGGCTAGTCTTGTTTCATCTATAGCAGTGTCCACACCTCATCTGAAACTCTGGATTATTCAGAAACTCCAATATAAATTGAATTAATAAGAGGGAATTTATTAGCCCACGTAAGTTGTTTAGAGCAAGCGGGGCCTTTACTTTGGTTGAACTGATCATATCGAAAAGGCTAGTGTCTTGTTTCTCCTACGAACCAGAAAAACATCTTTTGCAGAAACTTCAAATAAGCTGCCCTGGCCCAAAACTTCTTTAGGCCTACCCATCCCAAAGCTAATTAATCTCTGGGCTGATCGGATTACCAGGACTGGTTTAGAAAACAATCTGGGGTGAACGAATATTGGGTAGCATGCCATATTGTCCACTGTAGCAGCGATGAGTGTTTGTATATCAACATTTCCAATTTACAGTACTCGATCAAATGCCTTGTCCTTTACCTCCCTCCCATTTCTTTCTTTCATATAACAAATACACACACTTTAAACTGTGCTGTCAACAACTACTCTTTTTCTGCTGTCCATACGTGACATTTCAGGCTTCCATAATCTGCCCCATGATGCTTACCAATCTCTTATCTTCCACCAGTGTCCACTATGGACTCTGTGCTTCAGCCAAATCATGCTCCTCAGGATGCATTGCACTTGACATGTTCAGTTACAAACCCAAGGGTCCGCTTGTTCTAGCACTGTGCTTACAGGGCACTTATTCCTCTGCATACATACATATCCTACTCTCGTATGCAGATGCAATTCTTGTTACAGCTCCACAAAGTCTCGATCTGCCGTGGACCATTCAGTCATTCCTCCATTTCCTCGTTCTGAGCTTTTCAGACTTACTTCATTCATTTTCACACGTTAGTTTTCTTTTGCATCAGTTCAAGTGCTATACCATGTATGCGTATCTGCACATAGACTTTGTATGTCATGTTTTGTTTCTGCTTGTTCTTAGAATAATACTGACATGTGATTAATATTCACCACATACTTATTGAATAAACACATTACCAAAATGCATGCCTATATTGTTATAACAAGTTTTTATTCCTCTAAGTTGCTTGGGACTCTCAAGATCTTTTTTTGTCATATAGATAATTTTAATGTTAATATTAATCTAACACAGCTAGAAATAGACTCTTGGCATTTATACATTTACCATTTGTAAGCAAATTGAAATTATATATAGTACATTGTAGTTTTGCTGAGACTGTAATTGATTCTTACATGCTAATTGGTAATTTTCTGGAGGTAACTCAGGTAGTAGTGATTGGCTAAACGCCTAGCAGTCACATCCCAACACAGCTTTGTAAAGTTGTGCTTGCTGTCATATATGAAGGAATTTTCATTGAGGATTTTAAGGAAGTTACTAAAACTTTTGTATCTAGAGTTGCTGCCTTTTATGGAAGGCATTACTAGCTATGGCACCGTTTATCAATTAGAGGATTCTCAAAACTCTTCATGTTTGTCCCTTGCAACTTGCCAAAGGTTTTGCTACAAAGTATTTTGTTTCTTCTCCCATTCTACTTAATTTATTTCTTTAAATTAATGTCAATTTTTCAATTCCTTACTTAAAATCTATTGAATAGCATACAAAGAGAAGAAGGGGTTGGAGTGTACCGAATGTTTGCTGGGCTTTTCTCCTTGTACAAGCGTTAGGGACTGAACTCCCCTGTTTGTGTTATTTGAGAATGAATGTTTCTTTAATGGATTGGGCTATTCCACCATTCCTGATTTAAGGCCTGTTGTAGCAAGCGACAGTTTCGATGCCAGTAACATATGTGAATTAAATTAAATTGCATTGCAGGATCCAGCCGGTCCGCTCTGACCCAGTCAGCATGCCAGGGTCATCCCGTCCAGTCTCTGATCGAAGGGGACTTTCCACCGTGATTGATGCTGCCTCAGGTAGAAAACCACCTCCAAAATGTTTATTGGGTAGCTCCGTGCATTTTTTATTTCTTTTCTTGCACAGTGTAAAACAGGATTTTTTTTTTTGCCTTCTTCGTTTTTTGTTTGTTTAGTTTTGTTTGGGTGTGTGTGTGTGTGTGTGTGTGTGTGTGTGTGTGTGTGTGTGTGTTGCTAAACAATGCCATGCATTTAAATGTTGTTAAGGTTGGTGAATGATGTGGTGGAGTTGGCACTTGATTAAATGTAATGAACACAGTATTGAAGGCTACAGGGTTGATGACTGCTTTGCCTTTGATCTCTCAAATGTGGAGAAGCGACCTTGACAGAGAACGTAAATACAATATATGGATTCAATTTACTCAACCTGTTGAGTATCAAAGTGCCTGATCTGTGGAAGTAGAGTCCAAATGCTGTGGCTTAAATGGTTTTATTATTGAAAGCATAAAGTTTAGAAATTCATTAACTTAACTCTAGTCTATCTATCACAGTTATTAACTTCCTATCCTTGGAATCAAGCCACGAATATGTGTCATTAGTACCTCCAAGTAGATCTCTGCCTTGGTAGGTGAGAGTTTCTACATTAGTCTTGTAAAAACTGTTTTCTGCCAGGTCTGCCAAGTAATAGAACTGTTGGTAATAATTTTCTCATCTCTAAATGCAGTGATAAAAAATATAAGGACAGTGATGCTTTATATTATGGTACAGCTGTGGAGCATCTGAAGATAACATACAGCAGGGTTTCATCAAAATGAGTCTCTTACAAGTAGAATTATTAAATACTTGGCATTAGTCAAACAGTTGAGTCAGAGAGGATTTTAATCTATAGCAATTTCGAAATCTGTAGAGACTGCTGATTTGATTGGGGCTTAAACTGTGAAAGAAAATGGAAACAAACACAAAACTGATTTGTGAAGGTCACTTTTAAAAAACCAAAGCTTCTGTTTCTGATTCTGTCTCTGGATGGATTTTGAAGTTTGAAAGCTAATGCCCTTTGTACATCTTCTTAGCGTTCTGATTTTTTTTTTTTTTTGGTCTGGCGGATTGCACGGTTTGTCTGATTGAGCTGTCACATCCAGAGCAGTACCTTTATTTTTAATGTAGACTGTTACTTTAGAGGACTCATACTTGTTCCTCTTGCTTTGACTTGGCAACCACGGTTGTCGCCTGGACACAAGCACAGAAATGTGTCAAGTCTCTATCCTTGCTTCCCCGCACTGAATGAGATATTGAGATAGGTGACGTAACCAATAAATCTTCTTGATTGTTTCAATCTGAGAATGCCAACAGATCCTGCTCATCTGGAATTATCATTTACAATTGTGAGTCCTGGAAATGATGTGTTTTAACCAGAAGTATTTTATTCAAAATTATAGTGGTAGACTTTGTTGGTTTTTTTTTTTTAACATTCTTAAACTGCTATATTATTAATGTTTTAGAGCCAGATGACTAGTTACCAGACAAGTGAAATGCATGTCACTAAAGCATTTGCCACGTGTGTTATTACAAGTTGCCATCATCAATGCTGTAGTCTGGGGTGATCCTGCATATTTATCATGCAGCACTATCTTAGCTCTTTGTCAAGTTATCTCTTGCCACAGAGAGGAACATCTACAACCATAGTTTTGTTTAACTCTGTTGCAGAAGAGTTTTCAAGTTGACGTTTGAATAAGGAATTTCGTCTTTGCCCTTGGCTTGCTTACATTTCCATCAGAGAAATATCACAGGAGATTCGAGGATGTTGTCCTACAGCTCTGAGCCTCTGCCTGAAAGCACCAATCTTTTGTGTAGAGAAAGGACTTCATGGTGACTAAGCTCGATTGTTACTTTTCTAGGACTATTTTCATTCCAGAAAACCATAGTTCCCCTTCTGAAAGACATTCAGAGCAATGAGATGCGTGTGCTACTTTTCGCTAAATTGGAGCTAAAGAAACCCCATAGATGAGGAACTGGACTTTTAAGCATATTTCTCTTCCTCTCAAATGGTTTGGACCCCTTTTGTTCCACACATTATTTTAAGGGAGTGACTAATGTTTTGTTGGGGAAACTCCATCTGTTTTATTTGATAGGACCACCAGTGTAACGGTCTTACTTTTCGATATTGATCTTTAACATGGCAGAGGCTAAATGGTTTGGATTCTTTATGAAAAGAAGTTTATGGCAAAATTCTGTTCTAGATTCTTCTGTTATGAAGAGTCTAATAAATGTATGTAATTGCTCCTGAACCAGAAAGTGCTTCTCTGGTTATGGCCCAGGCATTGGCGTCAGCTGCATAGTATGAATATGCTTATTTGGAGGCTTTGTTAAAAAATATGACCAGTGTGGCGCCTCCTCTGATGGGGCTTCATTGCTTTGTCTTACCTTCAAGCAATTTATACGACTAAATGTGTTGTCTTTTTAATTGTTCCTGTGGCACATTTTATAGCTGTCCCTCTAGTCTAGTGACAGCTCTTGCTCTGTCTAAACTAGCAGTGATATAATTATCTTCCATACAATTACTTTTCAGAGCCACAGAATTACAAAAATTTAATGCGATACAATTAAATCTTTTGACAATTGTAATACTCTTCAAAGTGACAGTATTTTATTTTAATCTTGGGTCTGCATGATATGTTTTGGATATCTACATATTAATCTGGCAATGCTATTCTGTTGAAATCCAAAGAGATCAGCAGAAAGTTGTAGCACTTTTGCTAAGAAATATTTTTTTCCACAATTTCTTGATTATCTAGTATATCTGCTTCACTCCTCCACATAGAACACATTTCTTAAAATACATGTTTTTTATTTATTAACTTGAGTGATTTTGGCACAGTGTAAATTCTATGCTTTTAGATACCTGGGAACTAGCTTCTCACTCTATATAAATATGTGTATTTTAGACTCAGCTGATCTATAATTGCTTTATAAGTAGGTGTTATTCCCATAAAATGTTTCATCTGATCTTTGGTGATTCAAAAGATACTATCCTACTTAAGATTTTGAATTTAGATAATTCCTTTCATGACTAAAGAGAAGACTGTTCTAGAAATGGACTTGATAGAATTTTACCCTTACACACAAGAACCCAGAAATAATGGAATTCGAAGGAACTGCTTCATTTTTTTCTCTGTCCAACTAATTAACATCAATGTCTCTGAATTGTACACAGTGTTGCTAGACAAAGCACTGCATGGATTGCTTACCTTTTATTTTCCCTCTGTAATTTCTTTTGGTTAGGCATCTAAGAATTTCTTCCCATTGTTTGTCCTTTATAACGTGTGTCCTTTTGATAAAGGTATAGGACCTCTGAAGAGAAAATAGAAGATAGCTGTCAATGTCCTATTCAAACTTTGTTTCTCTCGTTGGTGACCGATGCTCTTGTTCCAAGATTGTAGGCCCTGCCTGTTGGATAACTTAATAACAACTCTAGTTGCTTTTGAGTCACCCTCACAAAGAACCTAGAACGATCTGGTTTATCCTAAGTTTGTTTGTCCTGGTTTGTAGTTTGACTAGGGAAATTGATGTTTACCAAGAAAGAACTCAAAACAACTGAGTCTTAAAGACAAACTTAGCCCTGGCTCGCATGAAGTGCAGACATCTTTTGTCAAACTCTACTAAAGTAAACATTTTATAGAGAAAAGTGTTATTAGAAGTGGTGAGAGCAGCCTTTATGTACATTCCTGCGGAAGGTGACAGAAGGAGAAGGAAAATGTGACAGATAAGTAAAACGAGTTTTTGTCCTTTAGAGCAGGCTTTGATACATGAGGTATTTAGTGTGTTACATCAAGCATTTATTACATGAGGCAATAAATCGGGACAAAGTTACAGACCTGGTATTTATTGTTATTCTTGACTCTAGAGAAATACTATTTTTGTGTATAATTGAAGTAATCTAAATAATTTCTAAGCAATTAATTAATTCAGGAGAAAATTTCTCAGCACCCAGTTTTTCCCAGTATCAACATAATTTGTTTACTGAAGAAAATTATGCACTTAAAAATTCAAACTGGTTTGATTTGATTGATTTTATGATACGATTTGTGCTTGTTTTATGTTTTTGGCATTCAGGGCATCAGAGCTTTTAAACAAACAATACTTATTATTAGAGAATTTCTATAGGGTAGGCAACAAGATCATTAGAGCAGTCAAATCTCTGCTGGAGGGACATTCTTATAGAACCATACTCTTACCTTGCAGAGATTTTTCTGATGCACTAGGGGAAGAATATTCTTTTTTTTTTTTTTTTTGCTGAGACATCCTGCCCCCTGTTGGCTCAGCGGCAGCTCAGCTTGGGCCGGGACTCGAACCGCTGTTGCTCAGAGCTCACACTCTTGAGCGAGCTCTTAACCAACTGAGTCACTCAGCCAGCCTGGGGAAGAATATTCTTAACGGTTATATTTCACTATAGCTACAGTTGCCATTCCAATCTGAGGCAGACAAACTTAGTCACTGTATCTTTTTTTATCATCATTAAATTTATTGGGGTGACATTGGTTAGTAAAATTATATAGGTTTCAAGTGTACAATTCTATAATACATCATCTATATATTACATGTGTATCCACCACCCAGAGTCAGCTCTCCTTCCATCGTCATATATTTGACCCCCTTTACTCTCTTCTATCCCCCTCCCCGCTTACCTTCTGGGAACCACTGAACTGTTGCCTGTGTCTATGAGTTTTTGTTTGTTTGTTTTTTGTCTTGTTTGTTTGTTGCTTTCAGTTTTATATGCCACATATGAGTGAGTCACTGTATCTTAAAGCCATCAGAGACAAGAGATACTGGTAGTAAGAAACACCATTCAGTCCACCATGGTGAGGCCACTTAGCTCCATGATTTTAAAGCTGTAGCTGTGTGACAGAAACCGTGACGGTATAATCATGGTCTTGAACTTTTGCTGAAACCTTCCACAAGTCATGTCTAACTACCTATCCATTCTTCTGCATCCTTAAAACAATTTAAGGTTTTCTATGCAAAAAATTGTTTCACCTTTCTAGGGCAGGGATGTGTTCAAATTATTGCCTAAAATAATTCCCAGATATAAAGGTTATAAAGTTCTTTGGAAATATGTCTTTGAATAAACAATATGGTTTTCGTTTAATAGAGTTCCAGATAGTCTTTGTGATTATAAGGTGTCGAAAACTGCAGGCATTCTTGTACCTTGGGTATTTACAGCCTATGTGGGATCAGTAAGAGGATTATGGATGAGGGTGAAATTAAAAGAAGGCTTAGTCTTGACCTGTGAACAGTCCCTCAGAGGGGAAAACAGAGGTCAGCCATTTTACTTTGACACTATTTATACTTGAAACAGTAAATATTCAAACTCAGATATGAAGATTGGGTTTCTTGTTTTGTTTTTTTTAGAAATGAGGATTTTTATGCATCATTTCAACTCTAATGAATACCTACTGTCTGTGTAGAATCAAAAATTAGAGATTAAGAACATAGGGAAAGACTTGATTTGCCTATCAGGAATGCTCTGAGCCACATGGCTCTCCTGATTTAAATATTCCTCTCATTCTTCTTTCTAATATTTATAGGATGTTAGAAGATGAAATTCAAGTTAACAGTGTGGAAAAATTTAGCTCAGCACAATTAAGAAACAAATGGTTGCCCCACTTGAAGATGAAGAAACTGTAAACAGAAGTAGAAGAAGCTGTTGGGAAAGTTTTTTTCTGATGACACATTGCTTCTTGGAATAAATCTTTGTGTCAACTAAAACCTTGCCTTGGCTTTCTCTATTGCAAGCACCGAGCTCTTGACATGACTTTAAGTCTTTCCTAAGCATTTTGAGAAGGAATTGATGGAATTCTCCCTACTGTTGATATACCAGGGTACCACATATTTACATGGGACTTTTTGGCCGAAAGACTCAGCGTCTCCTTTTCTGTACCTTTATTACTACATTTTTAATACGAGGCTGGACTGTTTATGTAGTCTGTTGCCTGAGACTGTGGTGGCAGAGGGACAATATTGGGGGCAGTATTAGCATTTGTTTAAGTCTGAACCAGGAATTCCATTTGTCTTAGTGACATTAGTGTCAAACTGTTAGTGCCACACTATTTTAAATTGTGTCCGAGAGCCTGAGAGGCTTATGCTTATAGGTGTCATCTATAAACTTAGAAACAAACAAAAGAGGCTCTCTCCCTTGAATATGGAAGCCCAGCGAGCAATTAAAAAGCAGCCTGGGACCTCACCCGGGCAACTAGTCAGAGCCAGAGCTCGCGATATTTCCCTGGATATTGTTGAAAACTGTCAGAGAAAAAGCTAAAGCAAATAATCAAAGTGAAAATAATGATACCCAGGAAAAGTCTTGTTTGGGGGCGCTAAGTGTAGTGGAAAGAATAGTGACTTTTGAATCTTTGATTCTAGTCTCTGCTCTGCCTATAACTGTCTGCTTGGCAAATTGCTTCCAAATCCAAAGCTTTCTGCCATAAAATAAGGGAATCGAAGTAGGTTATTTCCAGATTTCCTTCTAGCTTGAAAAATTGATGAGTTGGTACTTTGGATTGCTTTTGAAGAATTTTTTTTAAATTAGGGTATAATGTACATATAGCAAAATTGCATGGATCTTAATCATATAGTTTGTTGAATTTTTATACCCATGTAATCACCACTCAGATCAAAATTAGAATATCGCCATCATTCAAGAACGTTCCCTTTGGCCCCTTCCTGGTATATGACCTTTGACCTCAAGATTACCACTCTGACTTTCATCATTGTAGATTAGCTTTATCTGTATTGAACTTAATGTAAATGATATCATTCTGTATCTATTCTTTTGTGTCTGGCTTCTTTTACTGAATGTTTTTGAGATTCATCTGGGTGTTACATATGTCACTAGTTCATTTTTTTTTTAATTGCAGTGCAGTGTGAATATAACAGTTTATGTATCCATTATCCTGTTGTTTTCAGTTTTGGGCTTACCATGAATAAAGATGCTATAAACTTTCCTGTACACGTCTTTTTTTTTTTCTTTTTTGCATATGCATTTATATGTTTTGGGCACATACCTATGACTAGAATTGTAATCTCACAAGGTAGGCCTGTGTTTAGCTTTATTAGAAACTGCCAAGAAAGTATTCCAAACGACTATACTATTTATTATTCTTAACAGCAACATATGAGCTATTCTAGGGAATATAAACTGGTTTTAATTTGCTTTTCTCTGATGAATACTGATATTGAGCACCTTGAGTATACTTAACTGGTCATTTGGATGTCTTCTTTTGTAACGAACTTCTGATGTCTTTCACCATTTTTTATTGGGTCTGTTGTCTTCATTGAATTTCAGTTCTTTAAGTATTATGGATGTAGGTCTTTTGTCATATATTTTACAAATATTTCCTTTCAGTTTATTGCCTTTTTACTTCCTTAGTGGTGTTCTTGACAGCAGTAGTCCAATTTTTCCATTGTTTTATCCTATTATGTTTAGCACACAAAATATTTCCCTTTTGCTGGTATTGAAGTGATGCTTTCTCTAGTAATTATATAGTTTGGGCCTTTGCATTTAGGTCTAGGATCCTTTTCTGATTATTTTTTATTATGATTACAGGCAAGAGTCTGTTCAGTTTCTTTCACACAGATATCCAGTTGTTCGAGCACTATTTATCAAAAAGATAGGCCTTTCCCCCAATGAATTTCATTGATGCCTTTTTAAAATATCACATTTTTCCTGGATTCTCTATTCTGTGCCATTGATAAATATATATATATATATATATATATATATATATATATAAGTTTAGTGAGTTTTAAAATCTAACAGTTTACTTTCTCCACTTGTGTTTTTTATGTATATCTTGGCTATTCTAGCTTCTTTGCTTTTCCATGCACGTTCATATGTACGTACAAGTGCATTTCAGTGGTTCATGGTGGCCCTCGGACCTTTGGAAGTCCCCAAGAAACTTTCAAGGGGCCCGTGAGAGAAAACTGTTTTATAATAATATGAAGTCATTATTTGCCTTTTTAAAACTACTGTGTTGACATTTAGTACAGATGATGATGAAGCAATGGTAGGTAAAACTGATGGCCACTTAGTGTAGTAAACGCAGTGGCACCAAACTACACTTGTAGTCAGTTCTACTCACAGTTTAAAAAGACAAACAACTATAATTCTTAAGAATGTCTTTGATACAATAAAAATACTTAATTTTATTAAATTATAAAAATTTTTAAATGTAATAAATTAATTTTATTCAATTTTGTTGCTTGTGTGCTTCTTTTTAATATTCTGTGTATCACCATGAAATTGATGCATGATAGTTCTCCTGAGGAAATGCACTCATGTGATTGTTGTGAACTGACCTAGTGGCTGTTTTCATGAAAAACCATTTTACTTCAAAGAACAACTGACAAACTGTGTTGATTCAGACAGGGTATTTGACTCAAATTTTCTCAAAAAATAAAGTAAGCCTGTCCCTTCAAAGAAAACAACTGACAATATTTATTACCAGTGATAAAATTCTAGGCTTCAAGTGAAAATTGGAAACTGGGAAACCATGAATTCACATGGATCTGCCACTGCCTGCTTAACAGGTTCCCAATAGTTAAAGACATTTTTGATGAGCTAGGTGGTGGTGATATTAACTAATGTGATGTTTTTATATTGTATAATAAAATAAATCAACATTTGGAAGATCGACTGTATTTTCCAAATGACCAATTTTATGCTATTAGAAAATTATGGATGGGTGATGGACTCATTCCAATGGTAAGATAGGAAAAAGAATTTTAATATAACACAGTACATAAGTTAATTGATATAGTTTTAGATATCATTGTAACTAACTTGTCAGGTGTCTTATCGAAGAAGAATATCCTCAGAATCTGAAAAGACTCAGAATCTGAATACGCTCCATTCTCTTCTAATTACATTTTTGAGTGAGGCCAACTTGCCTTCACCTATTTCAATGAAAACAACATATCACAACAGATTGAATGCATAAGCTGATATGAGAATCTCCCTATTGTCTATTACAAAGGTTTCTCCCCCCCCCCAAAGTAAAAAGGTTATTCTTCTCATTATTTTTTAGTTTGGAATTTTTTAATAAAAATTTCATTTATGTTAATACATGAAGGGTTTCTTATTGTTATTTTTTTAAATGAGTTAGTAGATTAATGTCTTCAGTGATGATAGATATCACACACATAAACCAAAGCTCTTTGGAGTTCTCAATTTTTAAGGGCACAAAGCGGTCCTGTTTCAAAAAATGTTTGAAAACCAATGAAATATGAAATATATATATGACCTCACATAAACACATAGATTCATTAAATACATTTTCATCTCTACAGAAATTTAGAAGAGATTTGATTGTGATTTCATTGCATCTGTAGATCAAATTTGGGAGAACCTGACATCTTATAAATATTAAATCTTCTAATACATGAGCTTTTTATAGCTGTCCATTTATTTAGGCTTCTTTAATTTCTCCTATTTGGTGTTTTGGTGCTATTATAAATAGTATTTTATTTCATTTTTCAGGGTTTTTTTAATAGTATGTAGAATACAATTTTTTTTTGTATATTGAACATGTATTGAGACCTTTATTCATTCTAGTAGTTTCCTTTGAATTTTCTAAATTCATTTATTAATTCTAGTAGATTCCTTTGAATTTTCTACTATGCCATCATGTTATCTGCAAATAAATATGGTTTTATTCCTTTCCAATCTTTATACCTTTTTTCTTTTTTCTCCTTATTGTACTTGCTTAGATCTCCAGTACAATGTTGGAAAGAAATGATGATGTTGAGCATTTTTGTCTTCCTAATCTTAGAGGGAAATGTTTAATATTCCACTATTAAATATAATGTTAGATATATATATATTTTTAATGAAAACCTACATTCCTACTTTTTATCATTCTTATATTGGAAATCCTACATTCTTATATTTTACCATTTCTTTATTGGAATGAGGAAAAGATGGACAAAATCCATAAAAGAACCAAACTGACATTCTATAGGCTTAACACTTACTGAATGCAGAAGAAGAAATGATCAGAGACTCAAAAACAAGTAAATAATTATCAAAACTCAAGCAGAGAGGAAAAATAATGAAATAAAACAACTCAGTTTGAGAAGTGTGAGGGTAATATTAAACTGTCTAACATGTGTAGGTGTTACATGTGGATGACAAGAAGGAGAGAGAATAGGGCAAAAGAAATAAATGAAGGGCTGAGAATTTTCCAAAATTAATTAAAGATATAATCTCAAATTTCAACAAGCTATTTATCCCAATTAGAATAAATACAAAGAAAACCATACCTAGATGTATCTGAGTCAAACTGTTGAAATCTAAAAATCATAAAGCGATTTTAGTAAGCCTACTATGGCTGTTAATTTCTTAGGTTCGTATTGGGGTGAGGATTTAGAGTTTTGATTCTAAATTAGAGTGATTTTTATTTTAAGTTTCTTTGGCAGTATGAAATCCTTTGTCTCCCAGTAATCTATGAGGAATCTTAAGATGTTTGTTTGTTTGTTTGTTTGTTTGTTTGTTTGTTTGTTTGTTTGTTTTTAAAAGGTAAAAGATATGGGAAACCAGTATTTATTGATAAATAATTATGTGCCCAACACTGTGCTAGGTGTTTTCACATGGTGCATCTCATTTAATCATATTTCATTAGAATCACAAGATCATCTCAGAAATATGCAAAGAGTGGGACCTAAGATACCCAGGTCCTGATACTTAGACTTACTTAAAGTGCATTATTGTGACACCTCAGATAAGTCCAAACCTCTTTTTATCCTGCCTGATCAAATATTCATTTCAGAACACTGTATGCTGAAATGAGCCATGTGGGAGTTGAAGAGAATCAACTATTCAGGTGGTGAAAATGTGTGAATGCAGCTGGCAGATGAAGTTCCAGTATGATGACTTCCCAGCTTGTCATTATTGCTTCAGGCAACAACTGACAGGCCTGACTGGTCATTGGCTTTCCATTTCTGGCATTGATAGGACTGAAAATTCTTAGTGTCACACATACTTAAAAGCTGCCCCTGTTATTATGGATACAAACTTCGCTGGAGGGTCCTTTTTGCATAGAGATGTAATCAATATGGTCTAGAGTTCTTGACCTGAACCTATAATTATCTGGACATTATAAAGGTGGCTTGTTGTTACAGAAAATGCTTGCTTATATTCAGGACTTTGGGGCTAAGCTGTGAATAGAGAGAAGAAAAATAGAGGCTTTGTTCTTCTTTCCATACTTGATAGTCTTTGAAAGGCTATCATAATAATCACAGAACAGGGTATTCTTATAGGATAAGTACATTGTATCTTTAGGATTCGGGGTGCTGAAGTTTAAATCTCAACTCTGATGCTATCCTGATAACCTGCAAAAGTTGTGACTTGAATGTTATCCTGCAAAAGTTGTGACTTGAATGTTATGCAGGTTGTGATTGGGATTTTTTGAATACCAAAATGGAATGTTTTTTCATTGATCCAAATACCTGGATTTGAAGTGCCGCTTTAAATAATAACCCATTTGAATTTGATCGTTTTCTTTAGCTAAATATATGCTGAAAAAAAGAAATTGGGTAAGCAGATATTAATGGCATCCATGATCCATAGTCAAGAGTGAGTAGGAGATGACACTGGTAGCAATTCTTCAGTCACTATTTGTGCCAATGCATTTAAGTATGTTGTAATTGAGATTAATTTGCCACATGAAAATAGTAAAAACGCAGGCATTAAATGATTTCACAGTCGATGTGGATCATGATTGCTCTGTCACTGCTTAGCTTAAGATACCTCTGGATGGCGTTATTATTATTGGATTACCCTATGGGTAGAATGCCTGGAAAAAGAGGGGGCAGGTAATGCCTTGTGCTAACGGGCTCTTTGAGGACGGGGGGCTGTCTTCGTATTACTGCATGTCTGGTATTGGTGCCTGCCGCAGAGCAGATAATCAGTATGTGTTGCATTATTGATTTCTGATAAAACAAATCTTAAAA